GGGCCACACTCTGCCTTGGTGTCCATTCACAGAAGCAAATGCTCCTCTTTGCACCTGGCCTTGCCTCCTGCTGGAAGTCTTGCTCTCGGTCTGAAACCCGTGGGGAGAGTGTTCACGCTAACGGGTGGTCATGTGACCCCGCTACATCGACGGTCCAGAACCCTTTGGTACAGAAAAGGAATTCTACCCACAAAGAAAGTTAATTATCTGGCAGCAGCAGAACCTCAAAACCACGTGTCCCCGATGGAACTGAGTCGTAAGTAAGGGGACACACAGTGATTAGAAGCATTTATGGGGTGTGCACTGCGCCAGGAACCCAGACCGTGCCATGGACACAACGGCCGATGACATGCGCGCCTACCTTTTTGTAATTTTAAATTGTTATTCATTTGCCTTATTGTTCAGGGCTGATGGGACATATGGAGACATTCAGAATTGCATGGCTTTTTTTGGTTGTTGTTTTTATAAAAATACATTTTTATTGATTTCAGAGAGGAAGGGAAAAGGAGAGCTAGAAACATCAATGATGAGAGAGAATCACTGATTGGCTGCCTCCTGCACATCCCCTACTGGGCATCCAGCCCACAACCTGAACGGAAATCGAACCGGGACCTCCTGGCTCACAGTTCGATACTCTACTGAGCCATGCTGGCCGGGCCAGGGTTGCACGTTTTAACTAGGATGTTATGCTGCAGTGCACGCTGGGAATATAGTGGAGTCCCCAAACCTGAGAGCAGCTGGTGACCACCGTATACTTGGGGCCTACCCCGTTCGTGTCACTCCTCGCGGCCACCGCTTCCACGCCGGAGGGAACAGCCCCGGTGACCCCACAGAACCCGTGTGGCCGCCATGCTCAGCGCCATGGCACCTGTGACCACACCGTGCCCGTGAAGGCGGAGTGACCAGCCCAGCGGCAGGGTGAGGGCGGAGCCCACGTGTCCTGCCCTCCCCGTGGCGAGTCTCCCACAGATCCCTGCTCCCGGAGGAGAGGTCCTCACGGGTCCGAAAGTGCGCGGCCGTCAGCTTTCCAGCAGAAGTTCCAGGAAGGATGCTGGATCTGGGAACTGAGGGAGGCAGGTGTGGGGAGTCAGCCATGGTGACCAGCATCCGGCGATGCTGACGGTGCCCAGGGTGGGGCTGGGAGGATGAGTCTTAGAGCAGCGTCCGAGTTTTTGGTGGTTCCTGGCTGGAGGCTGTGCTCCCAGCATCTGTCGGGCAGCTGCCCGGGACGTGGACAAACATCCCCGTCTGCTCCTTAGGCATCGCCTGCCTGCTTTCCACCCGAGTCAGGGATGCCCGTGTGGCATGAGTCATTCCTTACAGGGTTGACTACGTGGCTTGTGCGCTCGAATCGTCCACCCACACCATGGCCATCGCCTGCCAAGCACGCCCCTCCCATCCGGGCTTCCTGTGAGCCTCGGACAGAACGTTCCGCACAGACTCTCCGATGCCATCTGGGCTCTCACGGCAGCGGACTCCTGTGTACCCCTGACCTCCTGGCCCCTGGGATCCGGACCTGGGCTAGGGGTCGGTTCCGGCACTGGTCCCAGCCTGGCTCAGGGGTCACGAGTTTCGACAGCCATGGACTCCGGTCTGAGAGGTGTTTCCACCAGAAAGAGAATGGTTTAACTAAGACACTGGTTACTTTCATGCCCTGAGTATTATAACTGATGATTCTATCACACTGTCAGGGTTCGGAAACTACGGCTCCCTTCATGTTTAGAAAAGGCCTGTATCATTCACAAAACTGGAATCAGCGAACGTCAGTAAGGGCTGTAATGAGGCCACACGAAGAAGCAGCATTTGTGTAAAATGACTAACATGTGCAGGATGCCTGCTTCAGCCTTTAAACCTGCCCTGGGCGCTGTCCCCACGGGGACTTCCTTTGAAACACTCCCACCTAGTGGATGAGCCTTTTAATTACACCTTTTAAGAAAACGGTACAACTATGAGATGCCTCCAAGGTTTAACTCCATCAAAGAGGCATGTTTTGGGTGTTTTTAAATCCATTTTAACACACAGTTGATTCTTATTCTCTACACAGGAACTTAATGTTATAATGCGAACATGTCTCCCCCAGAATTATGCTTCCGCTCCCGAAACGTGGACTTTGAGACAGAGAAGAGAGGCCTGTAGGAAGTCAAATATACAAGCCTCAGATCTGAGAGGGATCCCGGGCTCAGATCTCTGGAGACACCCTGTGTGCGAGTGACAATCAGGCCTCGGATGGGTGAGACAGTGAGGGAGACAGACGGTTTCGACAGGACTTAGACCGAGTCTGCAGGGAGCTGCAGGCCCAGTGAGACCGGCTACTGTGTGTCCCTCCGGGAGAACTGCAAGGCAACACATTTTCCAGTTTATTTCACTGATTGCTTTTCAGGTTGTACCTTCCCACGGCTGAGATGCATATACCACATGGTTTCCCCTGTGTATGTTTTGACCACGTATCTAAAAGCCAAGTTCTTCTAAACATGATCAATTAGTCAGCTTTGACCCCCCAGGCTCACCTTCCTTCAGCATTTCTGAGAGAATGTGAGGGGGGTGGACAGGAAATGTACCAGCGTGGCTCGAGCCCGGGTTCTGCTCGATTCTGCCTCCAACCACTGGCCACACCCACCAGGGAGCGTCCCTGTGCCTCCATCCTACAAAGAGAAGGTTGTTCCGGGCGTCAACCGGTAACGTAGGTAACGTGCTTAGTACACGTACACCACTTTCAAAATTCACAGTTTCCAATAGATTGCCTGCTGAGCCCCACTGGGAGTCCCAGTTACCACCAGCCTTATCTGAAAGGACAGCTATTGGCCATTTTCTTGAAAAGTGACATTTCTGTGTTGTTTTACGAACAACCCGGTGAGTGTGCATTCGCCTCAGTTTTGCATTAACCTTCAGTATAGAACTTATCGGTATAGGATATGTTGGAGATGGTGATTGTAAACGGTCTATTGTAAACAGGCATTCAAATAAAAACACTGTATTTATACTGCATTTATACCTCATTTATACTTTACAAATACACACTTCGCTTATAATAGTCCAGGATCAGAGGCCGCCGAAGGTTAAGGTTGATATGTACATCCTGATTCTCGTCTGGACAGAAAAGAATACCAATGTGTGTAGAGTTCATGAAGTCAAACTTTTATTTGGAAAGTTGAATCTCATGTATAATGAAAATAGTTTTAAACCGTACGTATTCACAGGCATAGTACAAACACCACCTACAACACAAACACATTTCAATAAAGCTCAGCTATGAATATCAATCTAAGTAAAAAAAAAAAAAGCAATCTGGTAAGCCAGTGTACATACCTTTTATCTCTACTGATGACATCATCAAGAGTGTAAGTCAGCTATGAATATCAATCTAAGTAAAAAAAAAAAAAAAAAGCAATCTGGTAAGCCAGTGTACATACCTTTTATCTCTACTGATGACATCATCACAGAGTGTAAGAAAAACAGCGAGATCAGCTTCGCCTCCACATGCCCGCTGCCCCGCGGGAGCCCTCGGCGTCTAGGCTACCACAGAGTGCACACCAGTCCCTTCGGACCCACTCCACCTTGTGCCAGGAACCCTATCTTAGTGGCATGTAAACAGAGCTAGGGTTTCGACGGGCAGCCGTATTTTCAATGCTTAGAAAAGCCAAACTACATTTCTCATGATCGGTCTCTCTCTTGAGCTCATCTCCTCCATGAGTATAAAATAGGAAAAAATATTCTGTGAGGCTTCCCGCACAATTCCATTGTGCTTTTACATTTTTACAAACATGGGGACATCCAAAATAGCAGACACCTTTACACAAGTAGAACAAACCCACCCAATTCACATCGGCTCATGAACATACGTGCAAAGCTCATGAGTCACTTCTGCGTAGCAAAGACCCTGCTTCATTCTTGTCTGACTCGGCGTTTTTTTATGGCGTGTGCGCATCGCGCTGCTCACGGAACAGCGGATCTACTTTCTTTCCTGTAGGTTTGTTTTCCTATAAAAATATATTTATGTGCTCACAGGAAAGCGTTGCGTGGGTGTGCGTGGGGTGACTTTTCGATACGTCATCAGAGTATGGGTTTGCTGATCAAGTTCAAAGGCATCTTAGCTTTTATTATTTTCAAATTTTTCTTCATAAAGAAGAACACCCTGTGACAAAGAGAAGGTAACTGAGATCATCGTTAGCACTTGAGAGTTGAGACCGTTTGAAGCAAAGGGGTCCAGCATGTGCCTATGTTGGGGTTTCTGTACAGAGTCGGTGCTGGGACCGGGAGACAACTGGGGTCTCCCCAAGCCTTGGTCATTCCACCAAGAGTCCTTGTGAGAACACACAACCTGTTACATCAAAGGAACATCGACCGTGGGTGCGAGAAAGTCAGTCTCGGATCTGGTCCTTCTGTGCGGAGGTTCCCAGGAGAAGAGGCCAAATGCGCGGAGAAGAGGTCACGGGAGATTGAGAAAGGCCGCCGAGGGCAGTCGCATGTCCCACGCCCCTTGGTTTGGGCCACTCAGATGGGACCTCCTTGTTCCCCAGCTAAGGGAGCGCTAAGATTTCGGACAAGGAAACATTTGGCCACTGTGTAGGCTTCTAACGGGAGGTTATTGAATTCATCACAAACGTGCCCCCGGTGCTTTTTGGAGACCTGATGACAAAGAACAGGAGCTGAAGTCGCCGAGGAACGAAACTCCCGAGTCACGACCTTGGCCTCGTCAGGAAACAGGGACCAGAATCCCCCCCGGAGAAGTCAGCACGTGAGGATCCCGCCTCCAGAAAGCGGATCCTTAGAAACCAGATGCAGATGGAGTTCGGGGTGCCCCCCACGGGTGTGCGGGTCCCCACCCCCACACAGGGCGAGGACCAAGGCTCCCCGCTGGAAACTTGTGCTGGGGGTGGGGTTGGGGGGGCGCTCCGATCCTGACCCCTAAGTCGCTGTTTTAACTAAGACATTCTTTCCTGCCCATGCATTTTGGACGACACACGAGGTTTAAAACGACAGATAGATATAGGCAACAAACACCAAAGTCAAGGGATTCGCTAGAAGGGATGCCCACAGCCACAGCTCCAAAAGGCAGAATCTGGGAACCAATTTGGCTTAAACACAATTAGGGGTTTTGTGGGGAGGGTAAGAGCTGTTTCCGCACACAGAGAGCTGAGCACTGGAGGTCGCTGACGCGCATGCACGAGCCTTCACACTCTTTCTTCACGTTTTCATGGACAATTTTGGGCGGACGGGCAGCCCACATGCCAGGAAATGAATTCCCTCACCTCGCGCTGATGTCGCCAGGAGAACACGGAACACGCCCCCAAACATGGTCAGCCCGTGATGGAGGGTCGTGTGTGAACGGCCTCCCTCGGGGCTGGGGTCGGAGCACACGCCCCCCAACAAAACTTACGTTGAAAAATATGAAGACGTTCCCTCCACGTCTACAGGACGTGTTACAGTAAGACCCTGGGCGGAAGCCATGAAGAACGGAATCCGGGGGCTTTGTACAGAGCCGTGTGTGGGAGCCGCATGGCCCGGGCGTGCCATGGGATGGTGGGCACGGCGTCTTTCATGTCCTCCCTCTCGCCTCCAACCCCACCTCCTATGGTGCGGATATCAACATGGCACGCACAATGCACTCGCGAGCAGATGCGGCGTACCATCCGGGAAACAGCGTGGGAGTGGGGAGGTCACGGAGCCACGGCCACCACCCTCGGCAGTGCCAGGACTCGCCATCTTTCCTAAGACGGCCTGGGACGCGGCCTCTCCTGCAGCCAAATTTAGTCCAAGAAAAAAACACCAACAGGATGTGTGCCGGTATCACAGCCTATAGGAATGAGCAGTTCCCGCTGAGGCAGTTCAGCTGCTGTTGAAACAAGGCTGTCTCCGGGCAAATAGCGCTCAGCAAGTGCTAGCGGACCGTGTACTAAGACTTCTCCTAAACTTAAATAATAAACTCTGACTGCATACAGACAACCAACGGTTTTAATAAGACATTCATTTTCCTCTTTACACTTAAATAACCTGTGTGCTCCCCCATCTACCTTCTAACCTGTAGGGGAGCATCACCCGGACTCCCCTGCGAGAGCACACTCGTGCAAACAGAGACCCCGTGGGGCCGCCACGTCTGTGCAAGCGTGGCCGGTGGGGACGGAACACACTGACGGACACTTTGGATTCCTGGAGGTGGACCTAAACACGGCTGTTCCGTGTTCTGCGTGTTCAGCACCTGTAAAGAAAACGAACCAACAACAAGAGGCCCGCGGCGCTCAGGGCGTTGTTATTTTTCACGGCAGTGCTGTTTGCTCCGCGTGGTTGCAGGCGTGGGAGTCTGGCTGGAGCTTCTGGCAGTGCTGGGTCCCAGGTGCACGCTCTGGACCCACGAGCCGACAGACAGGAGGTCGGTGGGAACCGCTGATGCCCACATGAGGCAGCCATGCTTGCAGGGGGAACATGGCCCGCACACTTGGAGGCGACACGGGCAGAGGGAACGTGGTTCCCACGTGTCTCCCACACGTGGCTTCCACACGTGATGGCCACATGGGCAGGGGGAAGACAGCTCCCACAGGCAGTGGTCATGCTCGCAGGGGGAACGTGGCTCCCACGGGAATGGTCACACTCTCAGGGGGAACGTGGTTCCCACGTGTGGCGCCCACGAGTGGCACTCACACGCGCAGAGGGAAGGTGGCTGTGGAGCTGCCGTTGCTTTCCACTGAGCCCTTCTCCTTGGAGCCCGCGTAGGCACCGATGAAGGACCCATCTTCGCTGAACAGGCCCTGGTCACCGTCCCCATAGGGGACCAGGCTGTCGGCGCTCTCTGTGGCCGGCAGGTCCCGCGTGAGGGACCGAAGGCTTCCCTTCAGGGGCTTCTCGTCGCTGTCGCTGGGGGAGAAGAGAGAGCAGGTCAGCAGCCTCGAACAGGAGCTGCTCCCGCAGAGCGAGGGTGGAGCAGAGGTCTGTGCTCAGGGTATTGTCACCATGGGAGACGGACACACAACCCCTAAAGGACACTTTCACAGACACGTTTCAAAAGTCACCACCCATCTGTGCCATTCTGAGCAACTGAGAAACTATTTTCCTTTTTAAAAAAATATATTTTTATTGATTTCAGAGAAGAAGAGAGAGGGAGAGATAGAAACATCAATGATGAGAGAGAATCATTGACCGGCTGCCTCCTGCACACCCCACACTGGGGATCGAGCCCGCACCCCGGGCCTGTGCCCCGACCGGGAATCGAATTGTGACCTCCTGGTTCACAGGTCAATGCTCAACCACTGAGCCACGCTGGCCGGGCCTATTTCCCATTTTCCACAGCAGCTCTGCTCCCCGTCCAGCCGGGAGCTCCCTGGGAAGCCGGGTGCCCCTGCTGACACAGGACAGACGCTGCCTCCTTGGCTGTTCGAACATTGGAACTCAGGATCCCCAAGTCTCCACCTTCTGTCTTACCTTTGATCTGGTATGTTCCCCCAAATCCTCCCAAAAATCACTCTTTTGTTTAGGTTACTCAATGAAATTCTGTTTCTTGTAACCAAAGAAGTTAATTTAATAGAGTGTATAAACTCAGGTTTGTTAATTTTTTTTTAAATGCCTGGCATTTTTGGAACATTAGCATCCTATACTTATGGTTTGGGTTTCATTCTTAAAAAAAAAAAAAAAAAAAAAGCAACTCTGGCCCTGGCCTTGGTGGAGCATCGCCCTGGGCACCACAAAGTTGCCAGTTCAATTCCTGGTCAGGACACATGCCTGGGTTGTGGGTTCCAAACCTGGTCAGGGTAGAAGGAAGGCAACCAGTCAATGTTTCTCTCTCTCTGCAAGAATGTCCTTGGATAAGGATTAAAAAATAGTAATACTAATAAAAATATATTTTTAAAAGCAACTTTGAGTTAGTGAAATGCCTATAACACAATATAGTCTTCTAAATTCCTGATCGGGATTTACTTTAAGTACTAACGACGATCACACCGTAAAAAGTCGTCTACCAACCTAAACAGCTTTATGAAATTGGAAAAGGAAGAACTGGAGAAATGTAGGTAGAATGTGGGAGCACTTGGGAACACGTGGCCGTCGAGGCTGTGGGCCAGGGGTCCTGCCCTCATGCTGGCAGCCGGGCCAGGGCACTGCCCTTCCCCACCTCATGGGACGCACTGTCGCCGAGGGAGCAAGAGTGATGTGTCTCGGGGAGCCAGTGCTCAGGGCCCATGCTCGGCTCCTGGTCTGTGGGGGCTTCGGGGGGCCCCTCCCGGCCAGGCACCTCCGTCACCCACACCCCAGAGCAGTGAGAGCTGGACTCACAACTCGGCGGAAGCACCGTCAGCTGCCCTGACTGATGCGGCCACTGGCTCGGGGCTGGGATTCTGCAGTTACCACGACAGAAGCCCTCAGGGCGGCACCTGCTCGGGGCACAGGTGAGTGGCCAGGCTCCACGCCTGGGACACGGTCTCCTGGGAGAAGGTGGGGACAGAGGGGTCTCCCGAGGAGCACCGGTTTGGGGGAGGGGATGAGAACATGGTACCTGCTCCAGGGGCGCAGGGGAGGCGTGCGGGTGACGCCGCTGGGTCTGCCCCTGCGACCTGAGGAGCGCCTGCCCCTGGGCCGTGTGGGGCGGATGTCATGCTCACCTGTAGTCACCAAAGGTCTCATCTTTCCCCGACTGAACGTCCGGGTCCGGGTGCAGGTCCTCCTTGTCTTTCACTGAAGAAAAGAGAGAGAAGCGAACAATGCAAACGTGTTTAAAGGCGCGTCAGCCACGAGGCTGGGCGGCGGGCGACCCGTAACCTCCGCGGAGCTCACACCTCCTGATGCGACCGTGTTGGGTGTGTCTGTGGTTGACTCTCCCACCGCCCGTGACCTCGTAAAGGAAAACAGGGGTTTTCTGGGTTGTCCCTCTCTGTCATCATCCTGGCAGGTTGCCGAGTTCCATGTATTCACTCTACACTCTGTGGCTCCGAGGCTCGGCCGTGGCCTCTGAGGAACCAGTGACCACGCCCACCCCGTGCTCTCCTAACCTTCTGGAAGATGCCACAGGCTCACCTCAGAGCCCTGTCACTATGCTACAGAGAACAAAGGTCAATTATTGACCCGGCCGGCGTGGCTCAGTGGTTGAGTGTCAACCTATGAACCGGGAGGTCATGGTCAGGGCACATGCCCAGGTTGAGGGCTTGATCCCAGTGTGGGGCGTGCGGAAGGCAGCTGATCCATGGTTCTCTCTCATCATTGATGTTTCTATCTCTCCCTCTCTCCCTTCCTCTCTGATATCAAGAAAAATATTTTTTTAAAAAAAGAGAGAAGCTGGGAAGTACTGTAAGTCTCCTTAGGGCCCATGTTAAGTGTGTAACCATTGGAGACAACGTTCCCCTTGGTCAGTTAATATAGGAATGGTTTCTCCTCACAGCACACTGTATCTCTAATGTGCTCATGTAAATTTAACCTATATGTGTAATTAGAATAAGAGACATCTCTGAAGAGTGCCCCCTAGAGAGTAATATTTAATCAATTGGAAGCTCTATTAAAAACAAACTTATTTGTTTATTTGTTGCCTTTTAATTTATATTTCACATAGGAGTGAAATCAATCACATGGTTCTTGTCCTTTTCCATCTGACCTATTCCACTTGGCATGACACTCCCAAGACTCACCCATGTTGTCACAAATGGCAGCACCCCACCTTTTTCATGGCTGCATAGTATTCCACTGTCCATAGGTACCATGTCTACGTCAGTCACTCGTCCCTCAAAGGAGGCTCAGGCTGTCTCTATGAATGTATTGTTGCCCCAATAAACATAAAAAAAGAGGAACCTCCTACCTGAGTACTTCCCGCCTCGGTTCCTCTTCACGAAGCAGACAGTCAGCAGCACGAGGGTGAGGACGGCGATGGCGCCCATCAGCCCGATGAACCAGCCCTGCGTGGCGATGTCGTCATACAAGCCCGCGTACTCTGCACACAGAAGTCACACACTGAGGGCCCGAGAGCCAGCAGCACTGCACCCCTTTGGGGGAAGTGACCCCTCATTTACAAACACACAAAACAGCATCCGTTTTGTGTCTCCGTGTGAGGACAGAAGGCGGGGGACAGGCAGGCAGGCGAGGCGAGCACGCAGCGGCGGAAGCGCAAGCAGAAGCCGCCTCGGGCACTGCAGGTTGCCATGGTGATGCTGGGGCCTGAGTTCCTCTTGTTTTCCTTTTTAGTTTTTGTTATTCACGTGTGTTAATAAGCAGGAGCTAGTTTAGGCAACTATTCCAGAAGGAGCAGTCAGGGTGAGGGCTCCGTGGGAAGCTTTCCACTGGGATAGTTTTAAACGCTACGTTGATGCCCTGGCAGGTTGGCTCGGTGGATAGAGCGTCGGCCTGTGGACTGAAGGGTCCCCAGTTCGATTCCGGTCCAGGGCACGTACCTGGGTTGCAGGCTCCTCCCCAGCCCGGGCCCTGGTCAGGCCGTGTGCAGGAGGCAACCAATCGATGTGTTTCTCTCACATCGATCTTTCTCTCAGTCTTTCCCTCTCTCTTCCACTCCCTCTAAAAATCAATGGAAAACTATCCTTGGGTGAGGATTTAAAAATACCAAATAAATAAATAAATAAATAAATAAACAAAAATCTGCTATGCGAAACAAATGGAAACTGCTTTCTTACAGCCAACACCCTGCACACTTTTACCTTTAATGTGGGGAGTGGGGGCACCTAACAATCTACAGGACGCAGATGTGCCGTCCGAGGCCGCCCCAGCAATCCCACTTCTCACCTCTCCCTCTCGCCTCAATCACATCTTCAAAAATGCTATTGTTCCCAACCCAGTTCTTAGGCAGGAGGCGGACTGCGTGTTCGGCTCCGGGCTCAGGCACCTCGGGGGGGTGAGCCTTTTCAGTGGCGTTCACTCCTTCTGGGAGCTTCCCGAGACCTCTGCCTGAGGAACGTACACGGGGAGAGCACAGGAACCGTGAGCGTGGCGAAGCGGGCGGAAAGGTAGAAACAGAGAGATTGTTAATTGAGACGAAAAAGAGAGCCGCTGGTAGCATCATTTCCCCCGAGACAGTTCCTGAATTATCAGGAGGATCAATACAATGGACATGTCCTATGTTCTTTTTTAGTATACTGAAATTCGGTAAATGCCATGAGCTGGATGCGCATCCTATTGGGATGACATACAAACTGATAAATAAATGCTATACATACTAATAAGTCTACCTGGTCAGGAGAACGGTTCAAAACCAAACATGGACCTACCAAAAATTGTACATTGTCATTTTGTGGAATTTGAACTTTACACGCCTAGCAGGAGACGGAGTGTGGCCTTGAAGGCTTATAACTGGAAGCACAGCCATCTTCACTCTATGCTACTTCTTTCTGCCTTGCTCTTCTCCATAAATATTGATGGAGCGGCATCCGAATATGGCCACACATGAAGTGCGGGACATTCGTAGGGACTTAAGCTACAGAAAGTGCAGGTTTCCAGGTACATTTAATCAAAAGGCATGAGACTGGGATGTGCTCTGAGAAATGGACACTTTTCAAAGAAAAACATGAGTATGCCAACATAGTCATCGTAAAAACTCATCGTTGCAGGTAAAAATATGAGCCAAGTGTGATTAAAAGATACACTTAATTTCTGGCCTTGCAACAAACTATCCAAAATACCTATTTTTGCTAAGAATCAACTCAACAGACTAAATGGAAACCGGAAAATGTTAATAACTTATTCGGAAGTAAAATATATTCCCTATGGCGAGGGGTCATGAAATGCTATTTTCAATGGGATGCGCTCCCACAGAGGAGGAAGCAATGCAGAGATTCTGATGACAAAGGGCCTCCCTCGCTACAGACAGCACCTGACCAGGGGCATCAGGGAGCAGAGAGGTTAAGACTGAGCACCATCGAAACAGAGGCAGTTAGTTTTGACTCTGAGAAACCATTAAGTAGCACAAGCTTTTGAAAAACAGAGAAGCAGGTGTTTTGTTCAAACCATTAAAGGCACACAGAAGCCTACTTCTGACGAACTCCATTTTTTCCCTCGAGATTATGGACCGTGGACGTTGGAGTGACAACCAGACAATAACCAGAAAGAAGGCAGACCCCGTGCTCTGAATGCGTGTGCTGTCGAGGCAGAGCAAGAAGAAGGAGACGCAGGAAGAGATCCCACTTTGACAAAAGGTATCACTTTGGGAGGGTTCCCTGATATCCAGATACAGCTCCTCAGAGGAAATGCACGTGTGTGTTTTCCCAAAGACCGCCCCGGAACCCAGCGGGAGGGGTTCCCGCCATCTCCCTTTCCTGCTTCCCGTCCTCAAATATCCCTCCAGGTCCGATCGCGGGGACCTCACACAGGTCTTCCGTCCTCACTCTACGTTCTCATTTCTCTCCCGAGGCCCGGCTGGTATCAGAGTAAGCTTAGCCAAAACACGGCTCAAATCGTGGCTGGAGAAATAATCTGGGGAGACATGGTTCTGAGTTGGAAAAAGAAAAGTGCAATTAAATTAGAAAAACTGTGCAAATGAAACCAGACTGACGGGCCATTTCCAGGTCGGGTATGAGACACCAGCCACTGGACAGAAACATAAAACCGGTACATGAGTCAGCATGTGCAGGGGTCCGACGTGTGTAGGGAAGTGAAATGTATTAGATCAGTGTTGCACATCGTCTACCAGGGCAAGGGATAATTTTTTTTGTCTGGAAACATTTCCAAAAGGAAAATATCCTCCTACTAACCTTATGAATGACTTCATGCCCTCACGTCCCCTATTTGCATTAAGTCAAACGGTAGCCCCTGGCCTCATATACTAGTACATGGAGCTCCCGTTGGATGACTGTCGTGTAGAAACCCATACACTGAATCAATGTGAACTTTACGAACAAGAGAAATACATTCTGGGTCTATGTGGGTGGAGAACAGGAGGGGACAGCCCAAGGTCACGGATCCCTGATTTGCACGACTAGCAGACTAGCACGGGCGCTCCTTCCTCGCTCCTTCCTCCGAGTAAATATCACGAGTGCAGATGTGTCCCCTCAGCTCCTGTACTTACTGCCCTCACCCAACGTGGCCGTTTCCTCCGTGACGGGCTTCCCGCAGCCCCTGGACGTGCAAGCCCTCACGTAGAATTTGTACTTGGTGGTGGCGTTGAGGTTCGACAGCCGCCAGATGGGCTTGGACGGGGCGGTGATGCTGACGTCATTTAGCTCTCCGATCTCATCGGTGTCGTTTACTAGGAGACAAAGAACCATGCCTTAGCCCCGGCTGTGTGGCTCAGTGGTTGAGCGTCCACCTATGAACCAGGAGGTCACGGTTCGATTCCTGGTCAGGGCACATGTCCGAGTTGCAGGCTAGATCCCCAGCGCCAGATGGGCTTGGACGGGGCGGTGATGCTGACGTCATTTAGCTCTCCGATCTCATCGGTGTCGTTTACTAGGAGACAAAGAACCATGCCTTAGCCCCGGCTGTGTGGCTCAGTGGTTGAGCGTCCACCTATGAACCAGGAGGTCACGGTTCGATTCCTGGTCAGGGCACATGTCCGGGTTGCAGGCTAGATCCACAGCATGAGGCATGCAGGAGGCAGCTGATCAATGATTCTCTCTCATCATGAATGTTTCTATCTCTCTATCCCTTTCCCTTCATTCTCTGACATTAAAAATAAATAAATTGTTTTTTAAAAAGAACCATAATACAAGTGATGCTGCCCTTAGTTTTGCTTCTCTGCATGCCTGGTGCCCGCCCAGCACTGAATTATTCATAGCTGCCACCTCACTTCATTCTCCGAGGCTGACGTAATCACCGTGCAAGGGCGAACTGGAGTCCGGCTGGATCAAGAGCTAGTCATGGCTAGAAGTATCTGATAAATAAACATTGCACACATGTTCCCTGCTACCCGGTGGCGTGTTGTTTTTGCTAACCCCGGGTTCGGAAAACCTTTTGGAAAAGGACTAGACTGTAAATATGTCAGCCTTTGGGATCCCCACAATCTCTATCGTAACTACTCAACGTGGACACTGTCATGAGAAACTGCTTTGGACAAATATAAACAAACGGACGTGGCTGTGTTCCAATAAAGTTTCCTTCATAAAACCCGGCGGTGGGCGGGCTGTGCCTCTGCGCCAGCCCTACAGGCCCCGCACCACCACGGAGCTCGCCGCCTGCGGACGGTCACGAGGCCTCGGCAGAGCGGGCCAAACGCCCCACACAACATGGACACACGGACTGGTGGGTGAATCAGCTCAAATGTCTACCTACTTATCTGGTACTGCAGCAGGTAGCCAGTGAGGTTTCCGTTCAGCTTCTTGGGTGGCCCCCAGGCCAACGTGGCCGTGTCCTTGTCCACTTTGATGACCTTGAGGAAGGTTGGCTGTTCGGGTACTGAAAACAGGAACAGACACTTGGAAAGTTAAAAACGACAAACCGCAGCCCCATGCGCTGTCATTTTTCACTGAAATCGAGACGCGAACTTGTGGATCACAGATTCGCTACCATCGGTTCAGCCGCTGGGCCACCCCGCGTGGGCATATTCCCCCGGGCCGCCCCTCACCTCCTTCCGGCGTCTGGAAGACGTAGGGCTCGCTCTCGGGACCAGCGCCCTTGGCGTTGAAGGCCAGGACGGTCAGGTGGAACTCGCTGAAGGCGTCCAGCGCGGGCAGCATGCCCGAACTCCTCTGGCCCGGGAACCGCAGGATGCTCACCTCTTTGGGGAGCGATCGCCCATCCGCCAGGCTTTTCGTCTTCCACCAGTTTATCTGCAATAGAAACAGGAGCCCGTCACCCTGCTGGCCGGCCGGTGCGGGCTCTGGGCTCCCTCCGGAAGCAGCTGTGGTGCAGGGAAGGCAGTCGGCACGAGAAGGAAGGGGGAGGAACCTGGTATCCTTTCAGACGCCCGTGCACTCTGTCCTTTGGCACCGAGGACCAGGTCACCTTCGCCAGCGTGCTGTTCACCACGTCCACGCCGTGGATCACCGGGGCCGCGTCGGGGTCTGCGGGCACGAGAGGGAGGTCAGGTCTCGATAGCCCCAAACGTGGCTACTGGGACACATTCAAAGCTGATTTTTCACCCGGACAGCATGGCTCAGAGGTTGACTGTCGATCTATGAACCAGGAGGTCATGGTTCAATGCCAAGTAGGGGCACATGCCTGGGTTGCAGGCTTGATCCCCAGTTGGGGACCTGCAGAAGGTGGCTGATCAGTGGTTCTCTCTCATCACTGATGTTTCTATTTCTTTCTCTCTCTCCCTCTCCCTTCCTCTCTGAGATCAATAAAAACGTATTTTTTAAAAAGCTGATTTTTCATGAGGTGGAATCTCAGAAAAGCTCTGCTGTGGAGCTGGTTCCCAGGGAACCAGGAGGTTCTCACCCCAAAGGGGTGTGTCGGTCCACAAGGTGGGCATGGGTCAGGAGGCGGGGCAGGGGGGCTGGGAACAAGGTCCTTGACGTGTGAGGGCAAAGGCAACTGGAAACCGAGGACAGTTCTGCTGCGTAACCCACTGCGGGGATGACGGCAGGTCTTTGCTTTTCGATATAGAAATAGCTTTCTCAGGGACTACAGAGAATGAAAATCTTCCTCACAGGTCCATACACTCTGCATGCCCCGCCCTCAACCCTAAGGAGGAACCACAGTCCAGTTCCCGAGCCCCTTCCGCAGCCGGAACCCTCCCCGCAGGCAGAGGCCGCTGGAACGTCATGCTCCCTGCAGAAATGCAAGCTCCTTGAGAGAAAGGGGCCGAGTGCGAGGAGTCACTCACAGTCTTCCCCAGAGTAGAGCACCACGGACTGGGGTTGGGGGCCGGCGCCCAGGTGGTTGAGGGCTTGGACCTGGACCTCGTAGGGGGCGTAGACGGCCGGCGTCATCACCCGGAGGCTGTGCTCTCGGACCGTCTCCTCTTCCCACTCCACCGGGGCCCCCATGGGCTTCCAGGCCACTCTGTACTCCAGCCCCGGCCCGTTCTGGTCCATGGACTTGAGAGGCTAAAGCAGAGGCAGGACACGTCAGTGACATGGACACGCACTCGGGATGGTGACAGTGTGGTGTGAGACAGGCTGCATAGCCGGTCCCCTCCGGGGAGAGCTCACCCCCTCTTCCGTTAGCAACTGCGGTGAGCACTGCTGTCACTCTGCGAAGTTTGCAAGTTAGTCCCTCGCCTCCTCTCATCTCAAGAGTCCCACAGTTTAGATCAGGGGTCCTCAAACTACGGCCCGTGGGCCACATGCAAATACAAATATTGTATTTGTTCCTGTTTTGTTTTTTTACTTCAAAATAAGATATGTGCAGTGTGCATAGGAATTTGTTCATAGTTTTTTTTTAAACTATAGTCCGGCCCTCCAACAGTCTGAGGGACAGTGAACTGGCCCCCTGTTTAAAAAGTTTGAGGACCCCTGGTTTAGATGCTTGGCTTCTATCCTTGGGGTTAAGTCTAACTTTTCATAAGAAATAATCAACTAAGAAACTCTACCCAGCCCGCCAATGTGGCTCAGTGGTTGAGCATCGACCTATGAACCAGGAGGTTATGGTTCCATTCCGGGTCAGGCCACATGCCCAGGTTTCTGGCTCGATCCCCAGTAAGGGGGCGTGTAGGAGGCAGCCAACCAATGATTCTCTCTCATCAATGTTTCTGTCTCTCATTCTCCCTTCTTCTCTCTAAAAAATCAAGAAATTCCACCCAGTTTTGAGTCTTGTTCTAGCCCAGGGGTGGGCAAACTTTTTGACTCGAGGGCCACAATGGGTTCTTAAACTGGACCGGAGGGCCGGAAAAAAGCATGGATGGAGTGTTTGTGTGAACTAATATAAATTCAAAGTAAACATCATTACATAAAAGGGTACAGTCTTTTTTTTTTTTAGTTTTATTCATTTCAAACAGGCC